ACGTTTTAGATGAAATGAATAATCATTTGAGATAGGCTTTCTTTTAGCCAATGAATACCCTTATAGTAGAAGCTTTTGTTAAGTATCCCTCCTGAATTTACATCAGCCTAACAATGGTCTTTAGGAGACACAGTGGTACCTTGAAATGGTGGGACCCTGGGTTCAAGTCTTGACCTGGGGTGCTGTCTGTGTGGAGTTTGCATGTTCACGGGGGTGTTCTGGTTTTCTCCCAGAGTTCAAAGACATGCTGGTAGACCCTGCTGTGAGAGTGTATCTGCCCTGCCCTTGCGCCTGTTGCTTGCTGGGATAGACTCTAGCTCCCTGGCGCCCCTGAAGTGGATGGAGCAGTTACAAAATGGATGGATGTTCATGGTGCCTGTGCAGTAGAGATGTTTCCTTGCGAAGTTGTGGTGCTTCATTGCGCTGTCTGACTGTTTTCTGCAAGTTATCTCGAATAAAACCTGAGTACACTGTAGTTAACGGCTTTAATGCATTTAGGATATATCGATGAATGCTTGAAACGCAGGATTCGAATTCGAAAACCCACCTTCCTCGCTCTGCATTCCTCCTCTAACGGGACAATGCTGTGGGTCCGGTGGTCTGACTCGGCGCAGAACTGACAAATACAGGTCCGATCAGTCGTGCAGAACAGCTCCAGGAGTCTCTCGTGCCTCTTGCACAGCTTGTGCTTCAGGTGGCTCACTGGCTCCGTCAATCTGTGTGTCCTGAAGGCAGCTCCTTGATAGTGCGGCTGGACGTGCTCGTCGCAGTAGGAGGCCAGACACACCAGGCAGGACTTCACCGCCCTGAGCTTCTCCGCGGCGCAGACGTCACAGGGCACCTCCCCTGGGCCGGCGGCGCCCCCATCAGCGCGGTCTAATCTTGTCCTCCTGAACTGCTCAGCCATTTCCTCAATAAACCTGTTAACGCTGAGATCAGGCCTTAGAGGAAAAGTCTTCTTACACAGCGGGCACTGACAACCCCCCCCCAGCTGTCCCAGTACCCCCCGATACAGGCCTGGCAGAAGTTGTGCCCGCAGGGAAGGGAGACCGGGCTGGCGAACACATCCAGGCAGATCGAGCACAGGAACTGCTCTTCGGACAGCAGGCTGCTGGGTGAGGCCATTTCTGAGAACGGAGAAGTGGCAACAGACATAGATGAGAGGAGAAGATCATCCCATCCATCCATTTTCTAACGGCTTTATCCAGGACCAGGTCACGGGGGAGCTGGAGTCTATCCCAGCAAGTACCGGGCACAAGGGCACAAGGCAGGGTACACCCTGGATGGGACGCCAGTCACACCGGGGCCGGTTTTCCCAGTAGCCAATTCACACACCTGCACATCTCGGCTGCCCTCAACTGCAGCTGGAGATGGAAAAGCCCACAGGGAGACACTGAGCACTGATCCTGCTGAGAAAAGAGGGGCATATTGCCAAAACAGCCGGATACAGCTGCGTCACCAAACAAACAGGGTGCGAGAGGAATCAGCGCAGTCACCCCCAGACCTTCTGATTGAAAGGGTGAACCGGAGGGAAGATCCCTCTGGACACTGAGGCCTCGGACGGAAACAGAATCAGATTTGGAAGTATCTCTGAAGGTACCATGAATCCGATGGGATCACCGCTACAGGGACTCCTGACAGCTCGTCCTTTTCCTCTATCTTCCCAGACCCCGACGACATCGCCAGCGCTAACTTTCCTTCTAGCTCGGCTCTCTTAATGAGTGAGTGGGGTCTTCGTCGGGGTCTCAGGAGGGGGTGCCCTGTGCGTTTCATCAACGAACCCCCCACAGCTCTGGGGGGCTCGACAGCAGAACCCCGCAGTTTAACCTGAGAGAACGTCGCTCTGGAATCCGAGGCCTCGGGCATGAACAGAACCGATAACGTCTGACGGTCCCACGACTTGACTTACCCCGGCACTGCAGAAGTTCACTTCCACTTGGAAATCCCAAATTCAATTCAATTCAATTCAACTTTATTGTCATTAAACTTACACAGGTGCATAGTATAATGAAAAGTGTTTCTCATTAGTCACTCAGGTGCAGTATATAAATATGACAGAAGATAAGACAATAGACAGTAACACAATAGCAATAACAGTAACATGTAATAACATAACATAAATAACGTAATCAAGTAATCAAAACTGTGCAAAATTCCGCAAACAGAGAAAATATAACAGGACAAAAACAGTGCAAGGTAATTCTTGGTACAGTGCAAAAAATAGTATGGTTAAAAGTAGTATGGTTAATTAATAAATATTAAATATTATTATGCCTGTTACAGTTTTACTGGGCTATCGAGGGGACAGTACAATTCCTCGAACTTTCTGAGGGCGTTCTCTCATCTGTGGAAAACAAGCCCTTTCAGTCCTTATATCGTCATTAGTGAAGCTAACAGGGTCCAGCCTTTGAACTGACAGGTGGTTGGATGACCTGGAGAGATTGCAAGCAGCTCTGACGCAGCTTGGAAAGAGTCCCAGCTCTGGAAAAGCCTTTAACTCTTCGCGTTCCTCTGTTCCCCCTCTCCCTTCACTCCTCTGAGAGCCGGTCCTCCTCACACAAGGCCAGGGCTCCAGTCCAGCAGGGTGCTCATGTCTTCATGAAGAGGAAACAGGGCAGCAGCTCTTCCCAGCGACAGGGTGCAGCTCTGCAGGTCTCTCTCACTTCTGGACAGAGACTCAGGGGAGCTCCTCTCTGTCCAGAGCTGCTGTGCTGTGTGGCTCCTCTGCTCTGGAAGGAGCAGGATTAACCCTTCCCACCCCGCTGGGCTCCCCGCCTCTCTCAGCACCACTGACACCAGTCCACAGGTGCCCAGCTGAGTCCCTGAAAATTAAGATTTTATCATCTCACAAAAGATACATTTAATAGTCAGGAATGCTGCTATGTTGTTTAATGTGCAGGTTTTGGCATGCTTTAATATTAGACAACGAAGACAGAGTACTCTCCAGTAGGGGAGTATTTAATTCTTTAAGGAATTCATAGGTGCAGCGTTGATATTACAGCATTACAGTTACAGCAATACATTTTGGTACACGGACTTGTTAACATTGTCTTTCCTACACAGTTTTTTACCACAGTTCGGGGCGAAGTACTGTATATTTGCCTGGATGTATTTGAAAATGACTGCTACTGCTTTCACTTTGAACCTAAATGGAGCAATAGTGTCACAAAAGGAGACAAAGCTGGGAGTGTAGAATATCTTCGGACAAAACAGATGTTACTCGCAGGGTTTTTTCTGATTTTCTTTGGAGTGTGCACTGGCAGAAGAAATCACTTTGCAAAAGGGGGAACAGTGACTGTGTTACAAAGATCACTCTTCTCTGGTCTACAAAGTGGCTGCATGAGAATTATGGACCTCACACAAACACACACGATGGAGGGTTAAATTCACAGCACCGGCTTCTGAACTCTGGACTCCTCTCTGTTGAAGAAGAAGAGCCCAGAATTGTTTGTGATGTGTGTTGCTCGTGTAGGCAAACCAGCTATGGGAACTCAGGGGAAAAACAAAGCAACACAAAAAAAGAAACTCACTAAAACAAAGCAGAACCCTGAATCCACAAGGGTTCCGAATTCCTATCACACAAAATGGATGAGCTATGTGGTTCAGAATTTCTTTAACATTTCTGTTTTGTTGATGAACGTATGAGTTGCACTTGACAGATGACTGCACAGGCTTAGAAATTTGATCTTTCTGTCCAGAGTTTCCTTTACAGCTTGTTTCCTGTCCCTTCTATAGTATCTTGACACTACAAGTGGAAAAGCATCACAGGACACATAGGAACTCTCATTTAAAAGCTTTATTTCAGAAGAAAAAATGAGAAATGACAAAAGGAGTGCATTATAGCTGATTCTTTATAGTGGTATACAGTATACAGTTCGAAAGCTGCTCCTTTGTTGTGGGGATCTAACTATCAGTCGCACACACCATGTCACCTGGTTCCAGCAGAGGGCGACGCAGGGCGACGCAGGGCGACTTGATGAGATGACTGGGTGGGCCATCGAGAGATGGAGGCAGCAGGGAGATGGTCTAGGGGTCTGATGCAGGGTGGATCTAATGAGAGATACACCTTCGACGGTGTAGTTCCAGGTGAAGGGGCAGAAGAGACTGAACGATTCGACCTCACTTTACTCCGACCGTTCCTACTGAGATCACCATTAATGATCACTCCTATTGGTTTAACATTTGATCCTCAAATGAAGTGTATTTAACCTCTGATGCTTGCCTTGAGTTTGGGTATACAACTACCGTGAATACAAGAAGAAAATCCATCTCGCTGCTGTCTCCGGCCTCGTGTATTTTTGGATGTCCCGACTACGTGCTCCTTACACAAGCCAAGACAAATCGAGGACTCGGGCATCAAGAAAAACCCTCTGCCGGGCCTGGAATAAGACCAGGCCCAACACCCAGGCCGTTCTCCCACACAAATATCCACACAGCAAAGGTGGCGTTAGGGCCGGGATGATGAGAGGACACTAGGACAAGTGGAGATCTGTAAGAAACAGGGGAGAGACAGAAACTCCACTGCTAGTGGAACAGGATCCCTGCTCTGCCCCCTCAGTTACAGAGGTCCCTTTTGCAGCACGTGGCTTTGAAGTAGCGGGAGGACTGCAGGCTGAAGCAATCCGTTCCTTTGATGCATCGGCGGAAATACCCATCTGCAAGACAGAGACAGGAGGTGGAGTTTGGGGGGGGATCTGAGGGCGTTTTCTCAAGCCATCATTGTTTCATGTCATTCAAAGGGCTAGAACTGAGCCTCGTTTTTCACGATTGGGCTGCACAGGAGTGGTGACTAGCTTGCACGAGGAGGTTGCACGTCGAGGCTTCCCTGTATCCGTGAGAGTCAGTGTCTGTGCTCACGCAGCAGGTGCGCTTTAAATTCCACACACACATGAAGCGGCTGCAGCTGTTGTTTCACTTGGGAAAACCAGAACGTGCAAGGTCTGTGCTCAGGACGTTTTCATTAAACGTCAGAGCCTAACAAACAGAAATGGTTCTTGCTTACAGGGGAAGGTGATGAAGACCATGCTGACACAGCAGTGCTGTTG